AATTACTGTCTGCCCTGACACTGGCTTGACCATGAGCAGCCAGACTCACAGTGATTCATGTTAATAACAGAGACGGAATCAGATTTTCCCTGGGAACAACGTCCTCTGAAGGTATTGCGTTCCATCTAAGGGCCTGTCGCCTGGCGTCTTATTGAATCTCCTGCAGGCAAAGTGCTCACTGAGCCGTGCGGGCATGCATGAGAGCCCATTCACCCCACAAAGCTCAACACGGAGGTAACCACGTCAGCCTTGCTCCTCTGTGACGCCCCACTGCTGCATCCCCCTCGCCTGCGACACTGGTCTTCAGTGTGCCCTGTGAAGGGACACCACCCACAGGGGGACTGAAGCTAGGAGGGGCTACGACACTGGCCATGGTTGCCCAGCAATGAGCAGAAGAGCCAGCCCCAGTCTGTGTGACTCAGGTAGCCAGCGACTTCCACAAGCCACACTCCTCTCCTCCGTGAGTCAAACGGCACAGTCTGTGCATTGCAAAGCCAGAGGCCTCCCAATTGCTAGCAAGTGCCGCAGGCAGGGCCCAGGCCAGGCAGGGAGTGGGCTGATGCACGGGTGAGCGGGGTCCCCGCCTCCGAGGGTCCCCACAGCCTGGTGGCTCACAGTGAGTCAGGCAGTGACTCAGACCTTGCTTGCTCTGAGCTGCATAAAAAGCTGAGTCAGGAGCACCTCGTTCCAAAGAACCCTGGGCCAGGGCCCCAGGAACCGGGGAGGTGAGATCAGGCTGGACTGTCAGGGACTAACCCCCATTACCGTGCCCTGCCTGGAACTGGTAATGAGGGGGCAGCCCTCGGTTGCCTGACCTGACATTGCAGGCCCTCATCCTTCAGGCTCAATTTTAGTGAGGAGCTGAGCCACCATCTGTGAAGACAGTGCAAGCAAAGGGTCATATTTGGTGGTCACAGTAATCTAAGGATGCGTCGGCATCATGGGCCAAAGGTCAGAAATGACCAACATCTTATAATGTGCCAGACAGTCCAGGCCCTCAAATACCAGCAGCCCAAATCCAAGCAGGGCTCCACTAAAGATGGACATTAGACTGAGTGCTGCCTTGTCTCCCCAACACTGACGAGGGCTAGGTTAAATGCTACCCCACCCCGTGACCTCCCACAAGGAGAACTAAGTTAAGTACTACACACCCACTAGGGACCAATTGAAAAACTACCCTAACTTCTTCCCACTGAGGAGGATTAGGTTAGACACTGCCTAACAATGCTCCCACATTGCTGGAGAGACATTTCCAACCAGGAGAGCAGGTCCTCAGCGCCAGATAGAAGCCCCCTCTCCAACGCAGGCTGTCTCTGAGCACTTGAAGCCTGCTCTGAGGTCCCAACGTCCCTGCCACAGGGTCCCTGTTGATACAGCAGTCTCCTGGCTCCCACCTACCTGTCTACTAGGAGACTTCAGCCTCAGCTCTGTGATCACAGCCCCAAGTCCCAGGTCCCCAGACCCCAGGCACACAACATCCCAGCTGCCAAATTCACACATCTGGAACATGAATTTTTCAGAGCTTAGATTATTGACATGCCCAACTTTCCCGTAACCCAGCCTCCAATCCTACCTGTAAACTCTTAGACTCCATCACAGACGTTTCTAGACTAACTAACTGTCTCTGAGCCTGGAATCCCTGACCTCACAGCTGTGATCTGAGAACTGGGCCCCCACCTCAATACAGAAACCACAACTGTTGCCACTGACAGCATCAGACTCCAGGGCTGAGGAGACTTTCCCAAGGGAGAGGAAAAAAAGACCAAGAGCGAGGAAGGGGGGAGGGGGAGGGGGAAGGGAAATGGAAGAGGTGGAAGGAAGCCGGAGGAAGAGACAGGGTGACGGGAAAGAATGAAAGTGGAAGATGGAGGGAGGGAAGAGGGCCGAGGATGAACCACAGAGGGAGGAAGGAGGAGCAGGGAGAGGAGACGGAGGACACAGGGTTGGATATGGAAGACCAGCAGCCGATGTGGAGGAAGGACTATAGAAAAGGGGTGTGGAGAATGGAGGTTGGATTAAGAAGGAAAGAAGATGGAGGAAAAGGGAAAGATGGAGAAGGACGACCGGAGGAGGGACGAAGGGGGGAGGGGGAGGGGGAGGAGGAGGACAGAGCCGGAGGGAGGAGTGGGGTGCAGGTGAGGGATGGAGGAACGGGAGGACGGATGGTCGGAGAAAGGGGGCAGAGGAAGTGGAAGGAAGACGGAGGAGACGGAGATGGGCGGTGGGGAAAAAGGGTGGAGTAAGCGGAGTGGAGCGAGGGATGCAGGCGGATGGCGAGGAGGGGAGGAGGGGACGCAGACGGGTGACAGGAGGTGCTCCAAGACAGCAGAAGCCACGGCAAAAGCAGAGGTGCAGCTGAACTTTGGCTAAATCTTTTACATTTATTTTTATTATTTTTGTGTGTGTGCCATGTCTTCAGGGGCCTGAAGAGGCCAGGAGAGGGCATCAGATCCCTTAGAGCTTGCCTTAATTAGGGTTTCTATTACTGTGGTTAAACACTATGGCCGAAAGCAACTTGGGAAAGAAAGGCTCTGTTTGGCTTACAGCTCTCGGGTCACACTCCATCCCTGATGGAAGTCAAGACAGAAAGTCAAGGAAGGAGCCAAGAGACAAGAGCTGATGCAGAGGCCATGGAGGGCGCTGCTGACTGTCTTGCTCTCCACTGCTTTCTTATACAGCTCAGTGCCACCAGCCCAAGGATGACACCACCCGCTTTGGGCTGGGCTCACTCACATCAGCCATTAATCATGAAAACGCCAATCAGGCATAGTGGTGCACACCTTTAATCCCAGCACTTGGGAGGCAGAGGCAGGCAGATCTCTGAGTTCAAGGCCAGCCTGGTCTACAGATCCGGTTCCAGGATAGTAAGAGCTACACAGAGAAATTCTGCCTCCAAAAACAAAAAAGAAAAGAAAATGCCCACGCAGAGGCAACTTGGATGAAGGTATTTTCTCAGCTGAGTCTCCTCTTCCCAAATGCTAGTTTGTGTCAAGTTGACAAAAATCTAACCAGGAAGAGCTGGACTTGCAAGTGGTTGGGAGCTGTCCGTGGGTCTTCTGCAAGAGAGCACACACTGTTAACTACTGCGCATCCCTCCAACCACCAAATCTCTTTTTGTCCAGCTCCACCAAAGGCCCCATCTCTCCCTCCCAAGCCAGCTCCACTGTGTCCTACTCAAACCGACTCACTGAGCAGAGGAGGCAGGGAGGGCAAAGCCTGTGGGCAGAGTGGCTGGAGTGCCCTATTTAGCCAACAAGTCAGCAATGTCGACGGTCAGTCTAGTTGGGTGACAGCCTGAGTTCCAGTGCTAGGCACTGTCCCACTGGGTGAGCATGGCTGGCCCTGGCTCCCAAAGCTGGAAGGAGTCATCTCACCAGCCCCTCCTCTCCAGATGGAGGCATTGGGGCTCAGAGAAAAGAGCAGCACAGAGTCGCACACACTCATCAGACAGGACACCAGCCAACAGCCAAGTAGGGACCGCTCGATGGTATTTGAGACAGCGTGTGCCATGTCAGTCCAGTCAGCCCTGCCAGAGCCTGTCAGAGTCACACTCCCAAACCAAAGTCTTCTGCAGGCCAGAGCCATGGTGACCAGCCTACCAACAGAAGTTCAGAGCGGTCCAGTGACTTATTCAACATCATACAGCACCCAGCATGCTTTCCTGTCACCTGCCAAGGTAGGCCTCTGACTTTATCCCACTGTCTCCCTGGTCCTCTAGCCTTCTCTTCTTTGTAAGCTCAAACCTCACCATGGAGGGATCCACACCAAAGGTTTACATTCCTTGAAAAGCCCAACACAGAGCTGGGCAGTGGCGGTGCACATCTTTAATTCCAGTACATGGTAGGCAGAGACAGGAGGATCTCTGTGAGTTCAAGGCCAGCCTGCTCTACAGAGAGTTCCAGGACAACCAGGGCTACATAGAAGGAGAGAGGGAAGGAGGGATGGAGGGAGAGAGGGAGCTAGAGAAGGAGAAAGGGAGGGAGGGAATTAGAGAGGGGGAGAGGGAGGGAGGGAGGGAGGGAGAGAAGCTCAACCCTCCTGCAATCACTTCTTCCACCTGGACACAGTCTGCTAACATGCTGTACCTCCCGAAGTTTTCCTCAATACTTTTGTTTGTTTTGTTTTTTTAAGACAGGATTTCTCTGTATAACAGGCCTGGCTGTCCTGGAACTGCTGTGTAGACCAGGCTGGCCTTGAGCTCACGGAGATCTGCCTGCCTCCCTCTCTCCCGAGTGCTGGAGGTGGAAAGATCAGAAGTTCAAGGTGATCACCAGCTACATGTGTAATCTTGTCTACATGAGATCTCGCCTCAAAAAAAAAAGTCTGCAACTTCCTATGAGGCCACAGGAAGAGCCCCGGGTGACCACAGAGGACCGTGTGAGGAGGCAACGCTGACAGTGTGATTTGAAGGGTCTGGCAAAGGGTTTGGCCAGGGGAAGATAGAAGAAAAGGCTTCTAGACCGAGGGAATTAAGCCCAGGAGCATGGATGAACCCATGGGCGTAGATTGTGGAGGATGCTGGGTCAGGGTACTGACGGTCTGGTGGGCTAGCTTAGGACATACCTCTGAAACCTGGGGTGGGGAGGGTAATAGGAACCTGTGAAGGATCTTGAATATGTGTCCCAAAGCTTGCAAACTGGAAACTTTATCCCCCGTGCAACAGTGACGAGAGGTGGGGCTTCGAAAGCAATAAGGGCTCATGGGTTTAGAGCCCCATGCAGATTATTACTGAGGGAGCTGGTTCCTCAGCAGAAAAACAGCCATCAGCAGCTTCCAGAAGCTTCAGCTCAACAAGACCCTAGGTCCAGCCTCCACCCTTGACATCTCCCCAGAGGGCTATGTGCCCACTCGCCAAGGCCCAAGGGGCTCGCTACAGCCCTCAAATCTGCAGGCCAGAGGACCACATGGGCGGGCCCATGGCCAGGTAGCAGCTCTGCCCATCCTTCCTTCACGTGCTGACCCCCGGGATGGGCACAAACACACCAGCCTCCAAAGGATATGGGTTACATACCATCTTGATGCACCAGTTCCGGGGGCTCGTGGTCTGGCGCAGGCAGAAGAAGGCAACAGGCGCCAGGTCTGGGTGTGGGATGTCAGGGTTGGCCCCATCCAGTGGCTCCTCCAGGCCTGGAGGGGACGGAGGGGGACTCTGGGACCCTGGCTGCTCAGTGATTCCCGGCTCAGAGGCCTGGGCTGCTGCAGATGGGGGTGGCAAGATGCTGTCAGCCATGTCAGCGTGGATTGGGGAGCCCTAGGAGGCAGAGAAGGACATGTGGGGGGTTGGCTTGACACCCACTCCCAAGCCTACCTCCCCCACCGTGGGTGACACAGCTCAGACAGCCTAGGTACAGGTACTGAAAGCTACCCGTTGCCCTCACTGTAGCCACGAGAATTAGGGGGAAAGAAACAGCCACTGCACCTAAGTCTGCATCACTTAGCCAGATGGTCATTGGGCAAGCCTAGTCAGAGTGAGGCTCCACAAATGACAACTATAGAGATAGATAGATAGATAGATAGATAGATAGATAGATAGATAGATAGACAGACAGATAGACAGATAGACAGATAGATAAAACCTCAGAATGTAAAGGTTGGGGGGTGTGGCTCGATGGTAGAGGTTATTCCCCGTACTGTCAAAATAGATAAATAAATGAATGAAAGCCTAGGGCTAAGGCTAGCTCAGTTAATACAGTGCTTGCCTAGCATGCACAAGGTCCTAGGTCCGATCTCTAGCATCACATAAACCAGGCACAGTGGCACACCTATAATCCTAGCACAGGAGAGGCAGAGGCAGAGGGATCAGAAGCTGAGGGCATGCTCAACCACACAGGTAGTTTGAGGTCAACCTGGGCTAGAGAACCTGTCTCCAAAACAATTAAAAATTAAATAATAAATTTAAAGGGGGGAGGAGAGATGACTGAGCAGTTAAGAATGCATGCTGCTATTGGGTGGGGACTGAGGGGGTGGGGGAGGGGGAGGAGGGGAGGAAGAAGGAGCTGGGATTGACATGTGAATCAAGCTTGTTTGAGGGGCTGGAGAGCAAATAAAGTAATGTCCATGACATCTGGATGGATGGATGGATGGATGGATGGATGGATGGATGGATGGATGGATGGGTGGATGGATGGGTGGATGGATGGAAGATATTTTTAAATTATTACTTATGACATGTCTCCATATACTAATAAGATAATAAAAACTTAGCCATGGTAAAAAAAAAAAAAAGCATGTTGCTCCGGGTTGGAGAGACAGCGCAGCCATTAAAGTTTAGTCTCACAATCAAAAATATAAGACTGCATGCTGTTCTTGCCAGGACCCTGCTTGAGTTCTCAACACCTATGTAAGGCTGTTCACAGCCGTCTATAATTATAGTTTCAAGGAACCTGATGCCCTCCTCCGGACTCCTTGGGTGCCTGCAATCACATGCACACACCCTCATATGGACACACACACACACACACACACACACGCACGCATGCACGCACACACGCACGCATGCACGCACACACGCACGCACCAGGATGAGAACCCAGGGATCGACAAGACTAACCTCTCTGCTTTACAGGTAGAGAAGCTGAGGCCCAGAACAGACACACAGCTAGGTAAGAGCAGAGCTGGGCCCCAGCCACATGGCTTCCGAGTGTGTCTTGCCTCTCTGGAATCCTTAATGCCTTACCAAGGGCCTCGATTTAAGTGTCTTTGACCTGCCAATCACACATTGGCCCTGACTCCACTCAGGGGCAGCTCAACATGCTAGCCTTATTCAGTTGCACTCAGCACCTCACAGGGGCTGTCATAGGGAAACTGAGGCTCAGAAAGGGGGCCGCTTTTATAGAATCAGGGGTAGATGAGGAGTCCGAGTTCTAGTTCCAACCCTCCAAATCCACTTAGGACAAGTGGTAACTGCCACTGACCTGACTGGCTCCCTGGCAGGCTAGGAAGGACAGGCAGTCCTAGAGCCCAGCCCCCTATAACCTCACCCTAGAGGCTGCACATCCCCGAAGGCTTATCCAAACTTGGTAGCAAGAGGGGCTCAGAAGGCCTGTGCTCCTGGCTGTTGCTGGCAGCTGCAAAGTTAGTGGCTGAGCCACCCTGAGATGATGGCTCCAGACACTTCTCCACTCCCACCAGCAAGGGACAGGAGCTGGTACTTCCCGACGCTTCACCCGGCTGGTCAGGGCTGCAGTGTTTTCTCCTGAGCTCCCAGTTTTGCTCCCAATTCCAGAAAAACAGCACAAGCCTTACATAAGTACCTTGGCTGGCCTCGCATCAACCACCCAGGTAGAACAGCAACCCTCCCTGGGGTAGCTCCAGGTCTTCCCATCACTGGACCAGCTCTGGAACCCACCACTCTCTCTACCAACCATCGCTCTAGCAAAATGGGACCTCCTGGGTCCCTAGGGCAGCACTGCCTCTTCCAGGCCTCAACTCACTGGTGCGTACTTCCTTGGCCTCCATATCCCTGCCTGTCCTGAGTACCTACTGTGTGAGCAGGCTCTACAGCTACGCTTGTGAACATGCACCAGCTCTCATTCAGCCCTCATAACAGCGTAAGAAAAGGATGCCCATTCAATTCACATCTCTTTCTGACTTTCCACTACCCCAGTCACTCTCCAGTGCAGTGTACGGTTTTTGTTTTTGTATCCCTGTGACTTCCGGTCTGTCTTCCCAGCCTTCAACAAGGCTGCAACTGAGAGCACAGATTGTTGCCTGTTACGTTTACGGCTGCAACTCCAGCCCTTGGAACAGTGAGTGCCTGGAACAAACTAGATGCTCAATAAATATTTGTCGACTACATAAATAAAAAGTATTGAAAGGTAAATAAACACGGGGATATGATGGGAATCGTAATAAATCACTTTTTCTTCTCTAGAGGAAGAGCTGTTTAGGAGCAAAACAGAAAGCATCAAAAGGCACCGCCAGGAACGCTCTGGAGAAAGAACACTCCAGGCAGAAGGAACGACATGTGCAAGGACGAGGAGGCTGGAAGTGGCTGGATGCACTTAAGGCGCAGAGGAAAGCAACGAGGCCAGGGTGGCCAATGGAGCCGGGAAGGGAGAAAAACTGGAGAGCCCTGAGGGATGACTCCAAGTGTACCAGAAACCGCTGGAGGGCTTCCGGCCGGGACTGGTGTGTCCGGAGCTGCATGTCTAATGGCACACCCTCTGGGGTAGCAGTTATTCCGGAAGGGCCACAGGTGGATCACAGAGAGCAAAGATGGCTGCATACATGGGCTAGGGACTCAAGAGAGGTCTCTGGGCCTTGCACAGCCAGCGGCAGCCTCTCCCGGTCATGGAGACCCTCCGTGTAACCACACAGAGCAGAGAGCCACTGGGCTGACAGGCCTCCCTTCTCTCCACTCCAGCTCCTGCCGCCTGATTGGTTCCCCAGCCCCTGTTTAGCCACACTAAGATGCCACCCCCCCCCATCCTCACACCTCTCCTAGAGATCACTACCACTACCACCTCTATGACAGTCCGGCCTCCACCCCCGGCCTGCCTCCCACACTCACCCAGCCCTCATCGTCAACTAGATCCCCTGAACGCACCCAGCCTGCTTCCCTGCACGCACCCAGCCTCCACTTGATTTCATTCACTCAGCCTCCGCCTTTTGACCTGATCTCCAGGGCTCATGCAGCCTCCATTATTTGACTTGGCCCCCAGCACCCACACAGCCGCCACCCTCCTAACTTGCTCCCCAGTGACTGCCTGGCCTCCACTGTCCGCTCAGAGCCCCCTCCTTCCTGCCTGTGACTCGACTCCTTTCCCCTTGACTCTAGCTGAAGACATCAGTAGGTCAGAGTCAGGTCCATCAGGCCTCAGAGTCAGAGTTCCTCCACATCCCCCAAGCAGCTCCTTCTTGGTGCTAGCCTGACCCTCTGTCTCCCACGATCCTTCTGCAAGGAGAGCACAGCAGAGGAGACCCACTGTGTCTGGAACCCCATCTCCATTCTTGGTCCTGCTGGCCTCTTGGAGCCTCAGCATCTCTCTACAAAGATCAGCCTTTCTCTTCCAGCAGGCCCCTATGAAGAAGCAACGTGCTGCAGAGGGAAAGCATGGTGGAAACCATGGAAAAAGAGTCTGAGCATGCATGAGGCCATGGGCTGATAACCCCGTGCTCCCCCGCCTCTGTTGTTACCACCACCATCAACACTGACATCACAATCACCACCAACGCCACCATCACAATCAACATCATCACCTTCATCACCATCACCACCATCACCACCTGTATCACCATCAACATCACTACTACCAGTATCACCATCACCATTATCATCACCATCACCATCAACACCTTCATCACCATCACCACCATCGCCACCTGTATCACCATCAACATCACTGCTACCACTGCTACCAGTATCACCATCACCATTATCATCACCATCACCATCAACATCAGCACCATTATCACCACCATCATCATTTCCATCATCATAACCACCATCACCACTGCCACAACCATCACTATCAGGCAATAATCAAAGGCCCTATCGATCCCAGAATTCCATGAATATTTCCTTCTTGGAGGAAGAGAGCAGGCCTAGAGCAGTTCAGCAGTGTCCAATGTCACCTGGCTGACACAGGGCAGTGGTGGAAAAGATGAGTCCCAGCTCAAGTCTGCCCACTTCCAAGTCCAAAAACCAAACTATGGCAACAACAACTTAGTAGGTGCATGAAAAACAGGTTCCCATCCAGGCTGAGTCCAGAGGCAGTGGAGACAGAGCTCCTGGTCCAGATAAGACCTTCGCTCTCCCAAAGTTTATCTTCCAGAGTATTCAGCCAGCACCAAGAGTTCTTGGAGCCCTTATGTCTCCACAGCTCACAGACCTAGTAGATATCGGTGTGTGTGTGTGTGTGTGTGTGTGTGTGTGTGTGTGTGTGTGTGTTCAGAGGGCCAGGTAACCTGTTTGTTCTTCAGTCAACAACCACAAAGCAGACAATGACACTGTAATTTCAAAATCAGAATGTCTTGCTCTCATTAGAACCGGAGAGGCAAACAGTTTTGGGGCATGGAGCACAGAACTGCAGCCTGTGTTCAAGTCCCAGCTCTGACACCAGCCAGCCTTGGCACAAGACAGCCTGGAGGTGCTACCTGCCTATGAAATGAGGAGGTGACTGCTCTGGGTCAGACTGCTGCCGGGGTAAGCTGGGGTAGCCCCACCAGGCACAGGGCTTGTGCACAGTGAGACCCAGGCTGTTCCCCCATACTCCACAGTGGCATCAGCCACAGATTTCTACAGTCCTGGAAACAGTGCATGGCTTCATGGTTTTCATGGTCTCCAGATCTTCACAGAGGGGGGACTCTGAAAACAAATGGAACCTTCAAAATGGCCCAACCCACTATCACACACAAACAGCATCAAGCACACATACACACCCACAGTCTCATGCTCACTTTTACACTCAGACACACTCCCGTGTGGACACACAATACCCACTGGCAACAGGCTTTCACACATATAACATACAGTCACACACAAGACAAGCACACAATACTACACACACCAGATATCTTCACATACAACCACAGACATGGATAACATGTAACACAGACATGCATGCAAACACCCCATAAGATGCAGATACATACACACAATCACACACACATATAACACAGATATTCATTATGTATACCACACACACACATACAACATACACATATAATCATACCCAGATACACAAACAGCATATGATCACACGACCAGTACACCACACATTCACAGACACATGCTCAGATGCACACACAGAAATCACAGGCTCACTAGGTATGTGGCACATGCCTCTAATCCCAGCACTAAGAGGGCAGAAGCAGGCAAATCTCTGAGTTAGAGGCCAGCCTGATCTATAGAATGTGTTCCAGGGTAGCCAGGGATATAGAGAGAAACCCTGTCTTGAAAAACCAACCAAAAAAAGAAAAAAGGAAAGAAAGAAAGGAAGGAAGGAAGGAAGGAAGGAAGGAAGGAAGGAAGGAAGGAAGGAAGGAAGGAATCACAGACACATACGTGCACGCTTAGTACATCACACAGATACACAGTCCTCACATATACAAAGCAGGGCAAAGTCTGAATTTGGGGGACCACCAAGAATCTAGTAATGCTTTGGGAAGACTGCCTCCCAGAAGCTTGCAGGCATCGTCTCAGAGCCCCTAGAATCCTGTCTGCTTCCTCTTCCGCATGACAGCCCTCCAGATGCACGATGACAGCTGCCCACCCCTGAGCCACATCTGCCCCAGGCCTCTTGTCACCAGCTCCCTCAACCATTCCTCAGATGACAATTTCCAGATCGCCTGCCTCCCAGAACCCCCCTTGGTCTAACTTGAGCTTACCCAATGTCCTCTGCAGGGACAGGGCTAGACTCACACCGAGGCAGAGGGTCACCTGCTTACTGCTGCAGATGAGGCCTTTCCGATGCAGGCTGGTGTTTTAGGGCCCAGACACAACCCAGACCCAGCACCTAAGCTTCATGGGGTCCACTGACCCCCTCAGGTCTTCTGAATTGCTGTGCAGTTGCTCAGATGGGAAGGGTTCACCACTGGCCCCCCAAGTTCATGAACTCACACCAAATTTGCTTTGGTCTGGCTAGCTGAGCCTGCCTACATTCCAAACTCCTCTTGGTTCCACTACAAAAATCAACAGCTAGCCTTCCCAGCTTTGCAGACACTCAGAGAATTGGTTCAGCAACTCCTCCTGGGACAACTAACAAAGTGTCACAGCCAGCACTGTTTGTGAGCACTTACAGCATGCCAGAAACCTAATCACAACCCACAGACATAAGCATATTTGTTCTCTCCTACAAAGAGGAAACTGAGGCACAGAGAGAGGAATAGGTATTTCCCAAGGTCAAACACTACTTAGTGGAAGAGCTGGGAGGCCCAACCGTGAGTTATGAGCTAAAATGTGGGCCAGGCCCCCCTGCCCCGCTGAAACACCTGACCGCCTGGCCCCAAACATTGCTGTGTTTGTTTTCAGGGGCCCTTGGCCTTATGATGACTATGAGAGCGTAAGCCTGTACCTAAATTCCCGCTGTTAGCACGTCTCCCAGCAGGTGCCTCTGCTGATAGCTTTGCTCGCTTTGCAGTAATTAGAGTTTTGGGTCTTACTTCAACAACTCAGGGTGCAAGTGGTCCCACAAAAGGGAACGCTGAACCAGGAATCCCAGAGCCAGGTGGGTCCAGGCCCCCTTCGCTACACCCCTTCTCATTTCTACTGATGAAAAACACAGAGGATAGTGCCTCTCTCCCTCTCAATGCAGATAACAAACGGAGAGAGATTTGGAAAGTACCTTAATGAAAGGAAAACAGCTTCCCCCTCCGGGGCCCCATGCTAGGTACTGCAGAGACACTTCTAAGTCTCGCAAAAAAAATCCTTTAAGGTAGAAGCATTATCCCAGTTACAACAAGCTGAGCTCACCACGCTGCGTGGCCTGCCCTCTGAGCCCCCAGTCAGGGATTGCTTATTCCTGTGAAGGCCGGGGTGTAAGCTTGGGTGGGGGCACTCGGGCTTTAACCCAGCCCTTGTTGCTCAGTAGGTCAGGGTGCACAGCAGGGAGGTGGGACCAGAGCCCGAATGTCCGTCTCAGGATGCATCATCAGCCAAGGCCAGCAGAAGGGGACAGCTGGCCCAGGGAGGACCCTGGAGACAAAGGTCTCTTCTGATTCCAACCCTGAAGAGACGCTGGCTCCAAGGCCCCTCCACTCTCCAGCACACACTTCTCCTCCCTCTCTCCTGTTCAAGAGGCCCGCGTTGCCAGCACCTGCTTAGGGTGTGCAGTGACCGTGTCCGGCACCCCAGGAGTCATCCACAGCCTGATTCTCACTCCCAGGCTGGCAGTTATGTCTCCACAATGCCCTCAGCAAGGAAGCCAGGCCCGCCCTCAAGGCATGGAAGCCTCCTAGAAGGCCCATTTAGCCTGTCCCATTCTCTCACCTCTGGGTCCTAGTGACCAGAATGAGACCTGGCACTCAGTAGGTGCTCAATAATCAGAAACCCAGGTTTATTTTCTTCTCTTCCAGCTGGCAGCTTAGGATAGGGAAGACTTGCTCTACATCTTTCAGGTTGCTGGGCCCCCCGCCCCCGGCCTGCGGACCAGGGATCCACAGATGTTCACGCAGGAGCAGGCACCCACACATCGGTGTAGTCAACGGCCCCAGCCCAGACCTAAGACTCTGGAGGACGTCAGGTGAACTGAACAGAGGGCACTATGCAAGGCACACACTGGGAACACGTGGGAAGAAAATGTTCTCCAGAAAGGAGAGAGGGAGGAAAGAGACAAAATGGGGGGAAGAGAGAGGGAGGAGGAGGGAGACGGGATGCCGCCAAAGTCAAGAGTGGAAAATGGGGCTTGACTTCCCCTCCCCTGGGCCTCCACCCCCAACCCAGCACCCAAGATGCAGCGCTGGGGAGTCAGAGAGCAAGACACAGGGTGAGAGACAGCACAGCTCGGGGGAAACCACACCGGCCTTGAAAAAGAGCTCTGAGCCGCTGGGGCGGGAGCGCGCGCATCTGTGTGGGTGGGGGGAGGGTAGGTCCCAGAGTCTGTCCCGGGGGCTGCACTTGGGATGTGGGACGGACCAGCGGAACTGGGCAGGTAATGGGGGGTTATGGTGAAGGGACAGGGGACAGGGAGGCAGAGGTGGCCAGGTTGTGTGCTCAGGGACAGGTCTCTGAGTTCAGAAGCACTTGGAGGCCTCAGGGAAGTGCTCCCCAGTCTCAGTGAATGACCGGCAGGCCCTCTAGGGCCAGGTCTAGAGCCAGCTAAGGCGGAGGAGTGAGCGGGAGGTTCCCACAGCAAAACCCCACCCACCTGCCCAAGGTCAAGGGGAGTCAACCGGCGGGGAGGAAGACTTCCTGGCGCCCTCTGGCGGGCTTAGAAGATACCCTCTCTGGCCCAGCCTTGCAAACGCTGTTGGTACAACCGACAGAAATGGGGGAGACAGGCAAGGAGGCTAGACAGGAACTCAGGAAGGAGGATGGAGAACTTCAGGCAAGGGAAAGAGGGGTCCCCAGGCAGGCTTTCAGCCCCTCCCCCCAAGTCGATCTGGCTGCCTGAGGAGCCTCCCGCTGGCTGGCACAGCTCTGAGCAGTCAGAATGGATCCTGTAGGGCAAAGAACAATGAGGCCCAGGCCTTCGAGGGTATGGAAGGTTCTCCAGTGTGGTGCCAGGCCAGCACAGTGTATCCAGGATATTCTCTTCCTGTCTCTGCATTCACCCCTTGCTCGGTTGCAGCTCAGCCTCTCCCGATCCCATCCTGAACTCTCACCCAGTAACCCCCTTTGCCTGGAATCACCATTGCCCAGCCCAGGACTTGGAGCTCAAACAGAAAGTTTGTCCTGAGGGGTGGACGAGAGTTTTGAATGAGTCTTTGGAGCTGAGTGAGGATGTTAATTCGAGAAGTGATTCCAGCTTCCTGAGTAAGGACAGGGAGAAGACAGGCCTGACTTCCCAGCATCAACCCCCCCTCTCCCCTCCAAGCTGGCCCTGGACCCACACCCTTGTCTGTGCAGCGTCAGAGTCTCCAGGTAGTGGCAGAGTCTGCAGGGACAAATCCCCCAGGAAATGAGGCAAAGGGCTGGCAGAGTGCTCAGGCCAGCCTGAGCCCTCCAGCCTAGGACACTGTTCACAGGCGATTCAGACCCTGTCACACCACGCAGCAACAGACAGGATTGAGCTCAAGCTCGGTGCTCCTGCTTGCTCTCTGTCTCTCTCTCTCTCCCTCTCTCCCTCCCTCCCTCTTTCTGTAACACACCACACACACACACACTCTCTCTCTCTCTCTCTCACACACACATATGCATACAGCCCAAAACAGACTCCAAAGACCAGAACACATCTCAGGGGCCTCTCCTCGGACCCCAATCTCATCCACAGCCTCTGATCTTAACAAGAAAGGACACAGCACAGGAGCTGGTGGCTGTGTCAGCTGGGCCTATCCTGAACCCCCTCCCCCAGGCATCATGACCTCCCCCAAAAAAGACCTACCCGCCTCCCTGCCAAGCCTTCCTGCCCCTTCACCCCACAAACACCACCCAACAGACAATTAAATCCCAATCAACACAAATGCTCATTATATAACCATTTCTCTGGCAGCTGAGGACTCCTCTTGGCCCCTGGAGTGCCCGCTCCAAGCCGACCTGGCTCCATGCAGCGCGACCTGGGTGGGCCCCTAGGGTACTGGCCAAGGAGGGGCCCTCCACCACGGGCCTGGAGGAAAGTTAAACCCTGCCTGGGGTTCTTGCACTCAATCCTGCCGCGGCTCTCCCTCTCTAGCTAACGCTCCCAGCTCAGCCCTGCCGGACACTGGCACCAGCTCTCATCGAGCTGGTCGCAGAGCCGCAGCAGCAGAGGGACAGCAGGACGGACAGACATACAGCCCGGGCCCCCGCCAGCAGCCTGACTTGTTGAATAAATTTCTGCAGCGCTGGTTCAACCGGCTTTGGGCTTCAGTATTGGCACCAAGAGAACTTTCGTGGCCTTGGAGAGGGGCCCGGTCAAAGTTCCCCGTCCTTCCTCCCATTGCAGGGCCCCCACCCCCAAGCACAAGATGTGGCGCCCACCTGATGGGCACGCGCGGGCGGAATGGGAGGGGGGTTCAGTCCCCAAAAATAATAAATAAATAAGTAGATAAATAAATTAATAAATAAAACGCCTCTATAAAGAAAGAGCCCAACGTGCCAAGAAGCAGACCAGGGGGCTGAACCTTTTCTTCACCCTCCACCGCCACTACCTCGCCTACCTTGGCATGGACGTGGCCGGGCGGCTGGGTCGTCCCAGGCAGAGATGCGGGGGTGACGCGTGTCCCCGAAGCCGGCGTGGAGAGGGACCCCGCGCCCCGCCGGCTCCACGCCTCGGATTCCGGGATCAGCTGCGCCCCCGGGGCGAGGGGGGCGGCGCGCGCAGGGTGGCGGGCCCGGGGGCGCGGGCCATGGCGGGCGGGTCGCCGCGGCTCTGGGCGGGCGGCGCGGACGAGCGGCGGACCGCGCGGAGTTGGAGCGCGCGGCGGGCGGCGGGCGCGCGGCGCTCCGGGCCGGGGGCGGGGGCGCGGGGCCGCGGCGGGGCAGGTGCGGGGCGGCGGGCGAGGCGGGGCGCGGGGTCGGGCAGCCTGGGTTCCAGGCTTCGGAGCCACTCGCGCCCCCGGCCCGGGCTTGAGGCGCAAGGGGGCTGCGCGCGGCGGGGGCTGCGGAGGAGCCGGAGCGCCGGGCGGTGCGCGGACGTGCGGCGGTGGCGAGACCGAGCCGTGCCGCGTGCGAGGAAAAGCCGTCCTTATACTGACACCAAATGTCTTCGGGGAAAGCTGCAGGCTTGGGGCGCTGGAGGGGGAGGCGTGCGGGCGACAGACTGAGTGACGGCGGCGGCAAGCGAGCCCCCTTGGGAGGGGCGGGAGCCCCCGGGAGTGCTGCCACCTCCCGACAATTTAGGGTCGCACCCCTGGGGAGGGTCTTGACCGCTTTGGCACTGGACTGCGTCATGCGTAAAAAAAAAAAAAAAGGGAGACCCTATGAATGAGCGGCCCAGGTGCTTTGTTGGTCTTGCCACACTTCAGATTCTCACTGGGTTTCCAGTTGGGCTGCTTGCTCCACTGCCCAGTGAGGGGGTCATCAGCTTAGCGATGGAACTCAGCCTAGCAGGTCTCCAAAGGTCCCTCAGAGACACAACTTCCCACCAACCTTCCCATTAGGTCCCTCTTCTTCCTGTCCTTCAAGATTGACTCAAAGACCACCAGCTTGTACTGTTGTATGCTTGTAATCCCCGCAAAGGCAGGCGGATCTCTGTAAATTTGAGACCAGCCTTGGTCCACAAAGCCAGTTCCAGACTACACATTAAGAAGCCAGTCTCGCCCGGCGGTAGTGGCGCATGCCTTTAATCCCATCACTGGGGTTTGAGGCAAAGGCAGGCGGATCTCCGTGAGTTTGAGGCCAGGTTGGTCTATAGAGCAAGTTCCAGGACAGGCTCCAAAGCTACACAGAAAACTCCTGTCTCAAAAAAAACAAAAAAGACTACCTAGGTTCAGGCTTCCCAGTGACCTCCATGCCCCCCCACACACACACAGGAGTGGGGCAGGTGCAAGGGCAGCCCTCAGCCTCACACGGCTCTGGGCAGCCTGAGAGGCCAGCCTTAACTGTGAAATGGGTACCCATCTCCCTTGTTTCGCATCACCTGCTTCCCAATCCATGCCCTCTTTGTAAGTGGCCCCATCTCTCTGCCCCACAGGTTACGGACTAGGGGAGGCATGTGACCTAGTCTGGGGGGTTGGCATGGTGGTGGCACACGCCTTTAATCCCAGCACTGGGGAGTCAAAGGCAAACGGATCTCTGTGAGTTCCAGGCCAGCCTGATAGATAGATAGATAGATAGATAGATAGATAGATAGATAGATAGATAGATAGGTAGGTAGGTAGGTAGGTAGGTAGGTAGATAGATAGATCTTAAAGGCATCAAGATCCTGCCAAATATCAATTAAATGCTTGTTGCTTGTTTTCTTGACACTGGGGCAGGGCACCTCATTTTACTGCCAACAAAACCGAAGCCAGAGGTAAGTGTTAAGCCAGAGGTCCATTCATCTGGGAAGCAATCACCCCGTGTATGCACTGGGCCCTCCCCAATCCACACCCTCTGTCTGCTTGTCTTAGTTAGCTTTCTGCTGCTATGATGAAATGCTAACCAACGTCAGGCTGTGGAGGAAAGTGCTGATTTGGCTTACACATCCATCACTAAGGGAAGGCAGCAACCTGGAGGCGGGCGCTGGAGCAGAGGCCATGGAGGGTGCTGCTTACTGCCTGTTCCTGGCCGCTTGCTTACCTTGCTTTCTTTTCAACTCAGAATCACCTGCCCCAGGAGTAGTACCACAGTAGGCAATCGTTAATCAAGGAAATACCCCATGGATATGTCCACAGGCCAATGAAAGGAGGCAGCTTCCCAGCTGGGCTTCTCTCTTTCCACAAACTCTAGTTTGTGTCATGATGGGGAAAAAACTACAAAAAAAAAAACAAAAACAAAACCAAAAGAACAGCTCCCCATCACCACCCCATGAAGGATGGGACACCCTGCCCAGCCCTTCCAACTTCCATGGCGAGTATATGACAGGGTCTCTTCATGAGGCTGGGACTCCAGGAAAGATACAATGGCTGCCCTAGGGACCAGTTGTTCTGGCAGGGGCCTGACTGCGGAGGTGAGAGGCTTCCTACAAAGATGAAAGGTCCAGGAAGTGTGCACAAAGCTAGGAGGTGACCCGCGGCATGAACTGGCCCATCCAGACGGCAGCCGGAGCTGGGTAGGAAGACTTCAGGTCATCGTGGATTCCCAGGATGCCTCACCAAAGGTGAGACACGTGCACTGGGCTTTGGAGGCTTTTCAGGACTGAGTCGGGGGAGAGAAGGGTGGGGCAGTGGCAAAGGAAAGGAAGGGTACTAAGGCAGGGGTAGGCAGAAAGGGCAGGCATGCCCAGCCCTGGCCAGCGGGATGCACAGCTGAAAACACCTGGAGAATGAAAACCTTCAGGGTGGAAAGAAAATCCCAGCCGTTCTCTCCTGACAACACTGGTGTAACATTCCGGTGGTCCCGTGGGACTTTGAGAACTCTCCAGGCAGTAAGCTTGCAGGTCCATGACCTCAGCACAGGCTCCTGGAGGGCTACCCAGTCCTAGATTGTGTTCCCAGGGTGATGTACACCTCACTTCCTTCCAGACAACTCCTTTGTTTCTCTAGGCACCGCAGACCCTCAGTACTCGCAGCCTCTCTACCCAACCCCAGGACAGTGAGTGGATCCCAGAGACATGGAGGATTCAGATAGAGACCAGGATGGAAGCAGAAGAGAGAGAGGAGCCATCGACCTGCTACAGGCTAGGAGTGCAACTCCTGTCTCCACAAGAAGCAAGGTTGGGGCAGTCCCTCTCAGAGGCCTCGCTGGCTGCGGGAGCTTCATTTATTCATTATTGCTATTTATATTGTGCCTGGTATTTGCAGAAGGCTACATCAGCCGCACACACTCATTAGGCCCCACCATGCTCTGGGAACTGAGCCTGCCAAGTCCTGCCAGGGGGTGGGGGAAATAGATGGCAGCCTAGTGTCCCCCAACATACCCACCTGGCAGCCTGCAGGCTCCCCATTGGTTCTGCACAAGCTACCTCCCAGGGACAAAGCCTAGCTTGCTCAGTACTCTAGTGCTGCTGGACAGAGCACGCGCACGCGCACGCACGCACACACACACACACACACACACACACAGAGTCACCCTGATGGAGAATTTTCTCACAATCGCAGGAGCCAGACAGTCATCTATTGCTGGGACTGAAGGAAGCTGGGGAAGAATTCTGACCCTAGGATCTAAAATTAGGTCTTTTCTGGACTTAAAGATCATAAGGGCATGGAGGCAGATATTTCAGTATCCTCACAATCATGCTCATTCGGCTCTCAGACACTCACAGACCATTTAACCTATCTGTGCCTGGCTCTGGTGGGAGCCCCTGGCAAGCACTAACACTTTTAATCCTTGCCACAATCTTGTAAAATTCCTTGCTTCTGTTTTACAGGCGAAGGTCAGTTGGCACAGAGAGGTGAGGTGACGTGTGGGAGGTCACATAACTAAGTGGTAGAGCTGGGACTCGAATTTGGAGCATCTGTTCTTAACTGGAATTCTAAATTCAAAGCACTAAAAAGCAGGCCAGCAAGATGCCTCAGCAGGATAAGGCACTCGCTGCCAATTCTGACTGACAACCTGAGTTCGATCCCCAGGACCCATATGGTGGAAGGAAAACCAACTCTCAGTTGTCCTTTGACCTCTACGCACATACTGTGTCACACACACATACATTAAATAGACAAATAAAAATGTAGCAACATTTTTAAAAACTCCCATAGTCAAGCTTTCCAGGACGCTAAGCCAGGAGTGCCTTTGGCCCCTAAAGAAGGGAGACTCCTGGCCAAAGGGGTGTGGGTGTGAGGAGGGGGTGGCCTGATCAGCACAGCTCAGGCCCCATCCCCCTCCCAGTTACCCTCCAAGCAGAGATGCACCCTGACACCTACAAGCTTGGTCCAGACAGGAGCTCTGGGGACCACTAGCAAGACCCTGAAAGCAGCTCATTACAGGAGTCAGAGACAGGAAGAAATTCACAGTGGAAACTGAACTTCAACCTTCCCAATGCTCCTACTGGGTTCTGGGTCTGAGCCAGGGTGGAGGACATTTCAGATGAAAAAGCCTGAAAGTGCTGACTACAGGAAACATGGAGGAGGTTTGGAGCTAGACACTAGGGAGGGAGGCAGGGAGAGAGGGCCCGGCTTTCCATGTGGGGTGGGCTGGGTGAACTGACATCTCATGGGGCCCACAGAGGCCTTGAGGCCTCAGGACCCACTACTCAGGGTGGAGGATAAACGAAGAGCGGGGAATAAGAGAATATAAGACGGAGGGAGAGGTGCCCAAAGGGAACCCCAAAGGGGCCAGGACTTCAAGGCTACAATGTTGTCCCCTCCCACAAAGTCTCAGAAGATCAGGGAGACACACAAGAGTCTGTCTAGTGGGGATTTCCACCAGTCCCCTCCAAACTAATACAGCCAAGAACAGCTCTGGGTGGGTCAGCCAGTGTGCCCCACCCCTGAACGGGCCAGGCAGCAGAAGCAGTCAAAGGCAGGCCCAGAGAGGGTGGGATGCAGCTGGCTCGCCCAGCTAAGGAGTGGGGATGTGTCCTCTGCTCTGGCCAGTGTCCACTTGCTTCATTAGTCCACTTAACTTCCAATGGCCCAAGGTGGCAGGGTTGGGGACCTCCACATACAACTGAGAAAGCCCGAGCCCATCGAAATTAAATGAATTGCCCAGGGTCACGTGGCTAATGAGCAGCAAAAACTGGATTCTATGCCAGGGTGAACAAGGGTGAGCGTGTGCAGGCATGGGAAGGGGTGGTCCTTCTCCTACTACCCCAAGATACAAGAAGGAAGGGACAGAGGGCAAGTGGGGGAGCGCTGTAAAGGACCTTGGGTCCTGCCAGGTGGGAAACACCTGACATTCGGCCAAACATGACAGCTGATGGGCTAGAAGCTTGCTGGATAAGGTCTAAAGCATCCAGTCCAGACACATCTGGAAGGGCTACCCGGCACCCAGCACTTGCCACCGGCAAGGGAGAGCAGCGTGACAAGGAAGGACTGCTCAGACCTCCACCCAGTCAAACACACTAGTCATCCCCCAAAAACACTGCCCTGGACAGTCAGCAAAAGTTTTCCTTTTACCTCACACTCTCCTAGGCTCCAGCACGCAGTAGGCACTCAATAGTTGCTGGGTGCCTCTCTTTTTTCTTTTTAAGACAGTTTCAAGTAGCTCGGTCGACCTCAAACTTGCTTTGTAGCTGAAGATGACCTCGAACTTAAGGTCGTCCTTCCTCAACCAGCAGAGAGTCGGGATGACAGGCCTGGACGCCAGGTGGGGGTTTCTGCATTACTGAGGGGCTGAGCTCAGAGTTTCGAGTACCTAGGCAAATGCTCGGTGGACTGACTGAGCCACGTTCCCCAGCCCTCTGTTTGCCTTTCTTGAACACAACTCTAGAGGTCATTTCCAGACTTGTTCACTGGTAAAGAGGGGGAGACGGAAGGCTGGGGAAAAGGCTCAGCTGATGTCTGAGCTCAGTTCCTGGAACCCACATAGTGGAAAGAGAGAACCAACTCCCACAAGTCACACACACACACACACACACACACACACACACACACACACACACACACACACTTAAATCGTTTTCAAAAGAAAACCTTAAGAATTTTTTTAAAAAGCGCTGTGCAGTGGTGGTACACACCTTTACTCCCAGCACTTGGGAGGCAGAGGCAGGCGGATCTCTGTGAGTTCGAGGCCAGCCTGGGCTACAAGAGCTAGTGTCAGGACAGGCTCTAAAGCCACAGAGAAACCCTGTCTCGAAACCCCCCCCCAAAGAAAAGAAACAAAAAAGCAGATGAAGTAGAGAGATGTACTGTGACAAGCCAACTGGTTACTCAGCACCGTTTCTTGTATACCTGCCGAGTGCCAGGTTCCAGGTACAGAGAGATGCAGCCAGGCAGGGAGACAGCCGTGTCTGAACAACTTGAATACACATGTGTGGAAGAGAGCACAGCAGGCACGGTGACCTCGGCCGGGCCGGCCCATTTGAGTAGAGGAAGGTCATCCCCAATAAGGTGACAGCAGGAGCAAAGACCTGAGGAGCTGATGACACCAGGAGGGGGAGGGGAGGGGAGGAGAGGAGAGGGGAGGAAAGGGGAGGGGAGGGGAAGACAGGAGGGGAGGGGGAGGGGAGGGAAAGGGAGGGGAGGAGAGGACGGGAGAGGACGACAGGGGAGGGGGAGGGCAGCAGGGGAGGGGAGGGGAAGGGGGACAGGACAGCAGGGGAGGGGAGGGGAGGAGAGGGGAGGGGAGAGGACAGGAGGGGAGGGAGAGGAGGGGAGAGGAGGGGAAGGGAGGAGAGGACAGGAGGGGAGGGGAAGAGAGGGGAGGGGCAGCACTGAGGAAGCCTCGGGCCTGCCATGGTCTGGTGAAAGACCACCATGGGAAGACGGGTGTGGAGCAGCCCCACTTGTCTCTGCCTCTTCGTCCGTCTCCTTAGCGCCACCTGTGGCCACCTTTCTCTCCCTGACCTGGGGCTGCAGGTGTCAGTCTCACACAGACGCACCTCCTCTCCGTTCTCTCCAGGCGGCTCCTGCTGCTTAAAGAAAGAAGAATAGAACTGGCAACTCTCCCTTTTGTTCTGGATGGACAAAGGCTGGCTCCAGCCAGCAGACCTCCAGGGAGCTGCCTCCAACACCACCAAGGACAGACAGGACCTGAGCTGGCCATCGTCATGGTCTCCAGCATATGAGCCCTGACCCCAGCCCTGCAGCTTCTCCCCCACCCTGCACCCCTGCCCGACAGCTCTGCTGGGCACTTTGGGCACTCACTGGAAGTTCGTGGGCCTTGCTCAGAAACGGGGTGGAGGGGGTCTCTCATCAAGGATGCTTTAAGGTTTCTATCTTTTCTGTCTTATGTGTATGAGTGATTGCTTAAATGTACATCTATGCACCGTGTGCATGAAGTGCCCACAGATGCCACTGCAGAGGTCAGAAGAAGGTGTTGGATCCCCCAGGACAGACAGCTGTGAGCTGGGAATTGAACCCAGGTCCTCTGGAAGAGCAGTCAGTGCTCTTATCTGCTGAGCCATCTCTCCAGCTCTGGTCTCATGGTGGATAGTAAAGCTTCCCCCGGCCCTGCTCTGACCACCAGAGTCTTCCTGGCTCCAGACCCCCACTCTGCTGGTCTGCCTCTACCACACCTTGTCTGTTCAGACCAGAGCTCAGCCGAGAGTCACCACTTGGAGATCTGCCGAATCAATGAATGTATACATGCATGCATGCATGCATGAATGAATGAATGAATGAATGAATGAATGGGCAAGGATCACAGCAAGGAGGGAGTGATGGGTTAAGCAGGTTTTTATCAGGGGAACGTATACCTTAATGATGGAGTTAGAAAAAAAAAGAGGAAAATAGATTAGGGAGTTAGAAACTATAGATGCTAAACATCTAGTGAACCAGAGGGAGACCCGTCTATAGGGGAAAATAAAACAAGAGCAATAGGCAGGGAATGAAGATAGGATTGTCCTCTTGTTATGTTCTAATCACTAAGCATGTACTCCAACACTGAGCCACACCCCCAGCCCAGGGTTGTTTTTGTAAATACGGTGGTCGAGGTACCAATGAGACTCTGATGTTTTAGCAAAGGCCCTGGCTCTTGTGAAGCGCATGGCTGGGGAGAGCTTGTGTAGCACACACACACACACACTCTCTCTCTCACACACACACACACAGACACACACTTCTGCTCCTGGGCACTTGTTGTCAAGGACCCCCATCACAGACAGCCCTGACCAGCTGAGGCATTGCCCCATCCTCCATTCTGAAGCAGAGGCTGGGGTTCAAGCTAGCCAGACCTGTCTCACCAGCCCCACACCCACACCCACACCTTCCCTGAAACCTTTCCAGGAATCACAGTGGCACGCACAGACTGGCAAGAGGGGACTGGAGGAGGCCATGCACACCCAAGGGGGTGATCTAGGTGGCTTCCTGCAGAGCAGTTTGCGAGCTCAAGTGACCCTCCCCATCCTCAGGCTAGGAAGGTGAACCCTGCTGGAGTGGAACCTCGCTGCTGACTCTGTTTGAAAATCAGTGTCAATTCTATGTACGCAGTGTGGAATCAACATGGACCATCCCATACTGAAGCAGAAGCCAAATGAGAGGCATCACATCTGTTCCAGGTGGCCCGTACGTTCTCACTGCCACCCAGGTACCCACACATGCCCAGGCTGGAGAGGTGAATGCGACTATCACATACCCCTGGCAGGTGCAAAGCAAGGGAAAAAACAAAACAAAAAACCTTGACCAAGTTCACCCAGCAGGAAGTGGGAAGGTATGAAAGCAAGGTCCCAAAGCCAAGTATACATCCACTCCACTCTCCCCTGCCTGCCTAGGCCCATATGACCTGGGACCATCAGGTCATAGAAGCCCATAGGTCCTCCCATGCCATGACCCCCCAGAGAAATTTTGAGCTTGTCCAGTGCTTGACGACCCAGAACACTCACTTCTAGAACACAGAGCCATCCTTTCCAAAGGAGAAAATACGCAGATACCAACAGTCTTTACCCTTCTGTCTGTGCATGCGTGCACACACACACACACACACACACACAGATAGAAACACAAATCTGCACAAACCGTCACACGTATACCCAAACAAATATGCTACAATTAAATGCACTCTTAGTGAAACACAAATCCACACAGACACATTCACATGCCTCTCAAGTACACACAGACACATACGTGTTATTACTAAGCTCACACTCACACAGACACAAGTGCAAATGTACCCTTCCCCAGCTGCGCTCACGAAGGGAGAACTGTCCACAGTGAGAGGCAGAGGGACAGGGAGGCAGAGAGAAGGACGGTGGGGAAAACTGGAGAAAGGTGGGGAGGGTTGGGGCTTGACTGGTGGGGGACAAGCAAGTTCAGCAGAACAGAGAGGAGAGATTATGGTAGAAGGATGGGAGAGGAGAGAGGGAAAGATAAGGCGATAGGAGGCAGCCGGGAGGAGGAAGAGGAGGGAGCAGGAGGGCTCTGTGATTGGAGCCTAACTTTAGCTGCAGAGCAGGGATGACTCACACTTGGGGGGAGCGCTGAGCCGGCTCCAGTTTTCTGTTTATATACCTTCACGAGCTAAATATACAGGCTGAGGGGTTCTTCTGTTCTGGTCCAGCAGTTCCTTGTGTTCTCCCCCAGCCCTCCAACACACACACACACACACACACACACACACACACACACACACACACACACACACACACACAGCCCCTGCCTCCTGAGGCCGCTAACCACTTCAGCCCTCACCCACAGTGCTCCCCTCCAGGGTGTCAGCTGGTAGAAGCTGACCATAGGGCTTGGCTTCACACTCAGAAATAAACATGGTGCAAACAGCCTCTTTCTAAAGCCAGAAGGCTGGGTGGGAAGATGAAATGCTTGCCCAGGGCCATTCAACATGAAGTAGATGCTCCACGCCAAAGTCTCCAAGGCTGCCAGACCAGAATCTCTGCAGGAGAAGTGACTGTGTCCCCAGGAGCTGGCAGGTGGGAGCTGCACAAGCAGGCTCAAGGAATCAATTGGAGTTGGAGAGCAGTGATCAGGGATTTTGAAAACAGACTATTCCATTGAAAATGCCCACCTTGGGCTCCCAGAATTATCAGACCCAGGTCTAGTTCCCTGCACCCTGATTTCCAGGGTGAATTTTCAAGGCCCTCTGCCTCAGACCAGAGAGGCTGCATGTGTGTCGCTGTCCGTAGTGCTGACCCTGCGTCGCTCTTCCAGCCCTGGATGGCGGTCTTTTCTGCAAGCTTGGACTGAGGGAGGAGACTGTAGCAAAGAAGTATCAAAGGACAGGAAGTATAATGAAGCCCTAGACTTTCAAGGAGAGAGCTGACAGATGGACGAGCTGAGCCAGATGAGAATCTGTGTGCCTAGCTCCACGAAACTGTTGACACGCACAAATGGATGGAGCCTGGAGGGCAGGGTTGGGCAAGCTTGAAGTAACACCCTCAGCCTCAGAGTTGAACAGAAGTGCTTCTAGTGCCTGTGTTCTTGTTACCCTTCTCGATGAAAAGGTTGTGAGTTTTCACACTGACACAGAACAAACAGAACCGTGACTTCCGTTTCCCAGGTGCACTGCTGTTTCATGTACTCTTGACAGCTCCATCGCAGAGCTGACAGGTTCGAAAATTTTATTTATCTCTGGGAAATAGAGAAGTGTTAGCCCCTCCCTCTCCATCACAAGCTGCACTCTGGGCCGTGCTCCCCGACCCACACCTGCCCCCCAGTGGCTCAGTTACTCTCCTGTCCCTACCTTGGCTCCTGCCTCCAGGCCTCTGCACATGTCGTTCCCCACAGCATAGGCATCTTCCTTGTCGCTGTCTCCTTCAAGGCCCAGCTGGGGGAAAGAGGAAAGGCCATTGTCAGCTCAGAGCCCACACAGTTGGCACCAAGATGACCTGGCCTATTCCATGCTTTCCTTTCCAGGACTAACAAAGTGTTCCCAGCAAGTTCCCAAGTGAGCAAGGTATTGCAGGTAGGCCTGGAGAAACTCTATGTATTTAGCTAGAAACTTAGGACTTTTTTTTTTGAGACAGTGTCTCATGTAGCCTAAGCTAGGCTGGAACTCTCTGTGGATCCAAAGATAGTGTTCGGTTTCTGATCTTCCTGCCTCTATTTTACAGATATGTGCCACCACGCCTGCCTGTGTGGTGCTGGTGATCCAATACAGGGCTTCATATATACTAAGCAAGCACCCTGCCAACCGGGCACACTATATTCATAGCCCAGAAATGTATTGCTTCAAGCCACCTTAAGAAAAATACAAGCCAGGTGGTGGTGGCATGTTCCTTTAATCCCAACAGAGCCAGGTGGATCTCCATGAGTTTGAGGCTAGGACTAGTCTACAGAGCAAGTTCCAGGTCAGGCTCCAAAGTTACAGAGAAACCCTGTCTCTGGAAGCAAAAAAAAAAAAAGGAAAGGAAAGGAAAAGAAAATTACAATAGGCTTTTCCCCCCTTTTGTCCCATTTTGCAGATTAGAATACTGAGACTAAGCAAGGGAGAGCCTGGTACAAGGCTGTCTGTAGAGTGCGTAGGACCTAGTGGGCACCCTAAGGCTACCCACGAGTGCAGGGAGATCTTTTGAAGAATGAAAATGAGGAGGAAGAGGAAGAGGCAGAAGAAAGAGGTGTGCAACATTCAATCCCAGGTCCTTGGGCCAGGTCTGACCAACCCACATACCCAGGAGAGAACCTTTGGACCCAGCAGGAAAACGGTTCCATGTTTTTTCTTCCACCACCCCACCTAACAGAGGATCCTAGCCTCCAAATAATGAACGATTCCTAATTTAATTACATCTTTAATTCATCTGGGTCTCTAAGGAGCTGCAAGCTGGAGTCTGAGGCGTCGCTCAATAGTTCCCAAGAGGGAGGGAGGATTTCTTCCTCTGTTTGAAGGGAAGGGTGGGGAGGGTATTGATCTCTTCCTCGGTGCATCCCCTGCCTGCCCTGCAAGGTGTTAGAGAGAGCCAGGGAGGCAGGCGGCTTGCAGAGGGTGAGGGGCAGCAAGGAAAGCAAGTCCCCTGCAGCTGTTTTGAAAAGCACAGCATCATCCATGGCCTGTCTTGCCAGGTGTCAACAGCATTCCCGGTGCCACTTACTGGGTGTTTCCTTCAACCTACTTCCACCTACTTTCTATTTACTTGCTTTTTGTTTGGTTGGTTGGTTGAATTTTGTTTTGTTTTGTTTTTTCAAGACAGGGTTTCTCTGTGTAGCTTTGGAGTCTGTCCTGGAACTTGCTCTGTAGACCAGGTTGACCTTGACCGCAGAGAGATCCACCTGCCTCTGCCTCTCGAGTGCTGTGATTAAAGGTGTGCACCA